ATTGAGACAATTTAATTGAATTTATAATGAAAAAAAAATAAAGGCCAAAAATTAGCAACTATTTGATGTTAAAAAGACCTAAAGCATATTATACACATTTCAGAAATCTATCACACTAAAATGGTGAAACCGGCGTGCATCTCTTTAATCAAAGCTTCATTACAAAATGATAATCTTCAGAAATCCTAATGTTCTTATTAAGCGTTTGAGTCGGTGGTCTGGTGACAGTGTGGTACTGCACTACAATTTTTCCTGTTTGATAAAATTGCATTTTGCCTTCATTCTCAAAAAGCTGCAGCTGAAAGCTGTGTTTTTCCACCAAACTTGGCTACCTGCGGTGGCCACAAAAAAGCTGCGGTTTTACTTTTTCAAAATAAAAAATTTGTAATTTCCACCACAGCTTGTTGAACAGTAACTTTTTTTTCAACACTTCACAGTTATTTCTTCAAATAGTTACAGCTGCTCTAAATAGACCCTTAATCCTGACGTTTACCCAGAAGGTAATTTTAGAAGAGCAAACACAATAGCAAGTTTCACACTGTGACGTTGGTTGTCTCTCTCTCTCTCTCTCTCTCTCTCTCTCTCTCTCTCTCTCTCTCTTTCTCATGCTCATCCACTTGCATAAGAACATTGTTTGTATTTGTAGCATAGCCTTCTTCTTTATTCTTGTCATTTATGTATTCTAACATATGTTATATTTATTTTATAGAAGATTTGCATACATACCACTCAATTCTTATGTATTTACTTATATAATGCCTAAAGTTCAATTTTTTTACAAATACATCATCTTACCTATGGATGAAAAGCTATATTTCACTTTTAAAAAAATTGAAATAGGGGTATTTTTTATATGATATGAAACTTCAGGGTGGAATAATTATATAAATAAAGTTTAGGTGTTATACATTTGAATAAATAAGAATTAGTGGTATGCATGTAAATGCTTCGTCATGTTCATTTGCAAAAAACAAGTGAATAGATTTTTCAACCTCCACCCAACCGAAAGCATAGTCCCTTTTTAAACCCCTTTCTCTCATCAACGTCCTCATATATGCAACATTTATCCATTTGCTGGTAGATGCATGGATGTTGTACTACAAAATGTGAGGCATTTAATCTATGTGGGTCAAGCTCAAATAAACATTCAACAGCAAGCTACCTTAATCCACATTCTTATGCATTATACACACTCCTAGCAAGCTCCCAAAATAACAAAAGTGGGCTTAGGAGAGATTTTATCTATGAACTTCCGTGCTTATTCAGGAAGGCCTACAGTCCAAGTAGATCAACAACTGCCACCTTATGCTCAATTTCAAGCACCACCTTATATTCCTTCAACAAATTGAGCTAATACTCCCATTCTTTGAGCAAACAACCATGATTATATGCATTAAAAATACAAATAAAAGTCTAAATATTCTTCTAGATAGCCTTAAAATCAAAATCAATGATTGCTTATATCTTGCCAACTTGTATATATGTATTTTTTTCTCACCTATAAGGGTATCCAATGGTTACATATACAAATAAATGCACAAAATAAAGCTTTTAATAAAAAAAATCTGTTCTTTGGCCTATCATCATTAGTTTCTTAAGATTTATAATAAGTTTCTCAATATTTCTATTTAAATATAAGTATTTATATTAGTGCTTGAATACCATCTACCACACATTTCATTATTGATGAAAGACATGGGATTAATTTTAGTAGATCTTTCTACAACTTATTTTTTAGGATTGCACAAATTTAATCCTTTAAGGTTTATTGCTTCCATAAAATGAGTCTCCTGCCAAATACTCCTAGCTAAATACATTGGACATGAGCACTGTAATAATAAATGGATTTAGCTAAATGTATGCTTCAATAAAATGATAGATTTGAATCAAAGACTTGCTTCCATAGAATGAATCTCCTTCTTGAGGGGTTCAAACATTGTGCAATATAATAATAAATGTTTACATAATTGAAATACAAACAAGAGTAGTCCATAAAAGAGAATTATTTCATTAACACATGCATTATTGAAATGCTTCTTAAAATCCAATAATAATACTGGACTTGAAACATTATAAACAATTGTACAAGCAGAAGGCAGGACATAGTTTGGATTCATCATGACGTCGTTGGATTATTTGTGGTAGCATCATGATTGTGAAGCTAAATTGGAGTTGCTAGCTCAATTGGCCAACCTAAGAATATGCACTTCACAACAATAGAATTTCCATTGATTAGCTTTGCTAATCGAGCCAAGGTGTTGTTGGATAGGCGAAATTGTTTGTTGAGCAATTGAACTTTAAGGTATGGTGCCAAAGATCATCCCAATTCTACCTTCGACACTATGGCTGACAAAATAATTTGTAAGATTTGGCATGCCATTTAGGTCATGAATTCTGGTAGTTGCTATAAGCTTTCTCGAAGGTTGGATGGTCATCTTTAATACAATCTAACTCGAGTAACAATGTAGTTTACATGTAAAAAGTATACTAATGAGTAAATTTGTTAGATTCTATTAGCATGAAAAACGACAAAAATAGTAATTCATAGTTAGTTTTTGAGCTTCAAAATATTATAAGTAAAGAAGTTATGAGGAATTTCGCCAGAGCTCTATTGAGAATGCTAAAAGAATATAAACATAAGCTTAAGGTTATAATATCAATAAATCATTTTTGATGAAACAATAATTTGGATTTAGCTTTTTTAATTAACAATTTTAATGAATTCATACATCCTTTATCGTTGCATTCAAGAAAATGCAATTGATCATTATTGTTAACCATAGTCATAACTAACATTAAACAAGTAGTGTTCAGAACTATCTGTAATTCTATTAATGCCAACAATTTTATCAATATCATTTATCTTTTACATTTTATGCTCATCTTATGTTAACTCTTTGAACTATTAAAATTCCCATTAGTATTTTATTCTTCTTCACATATATACTAATCATTATCAATGGTGTTAGTGGAAGCATATATGTGATTTTTTAAACATGTTAGATGGTACATTTTCAATAGTGCACTCATAACATAACATTCAATTTTCCATAATGTTTTATGCTATTCGTCCTCCTTTGCTTTCTACTTAAATATTTTTTTTCCTTCTTCAATTTGTACCACATAAAGTGAACTCTATTCCTACATGCGAGGAAATATGACAACTTCACGAATGCTTTATCCAAAGCTAATTATAATAAAACTTTAATGGGAAATTACAAACATAGCACTCAATTCTTATGAATTTACTTATCCCACACCTAAAGTTTTATTTTTACACATATAGTTGTTCATTTATAGATAAAAGTTTCATTTTTACACTATAGTTGTTCATTTATAGATAATTTTACACATATAGTTGTTCATTTATAGATAAAAGTTTCATTTTTACACGTATAGTTGTTCATTTATGGATAAAAAGATGAATTTGAGTTTTAAAAGATGATAATGGGTGCTAATTTTTATATGATGTTTGTAATTATGTCAGTTTTGATGTGAGATACGTAAATATGAAAGTTTTGAGTGCTATGCGTGTAAGAGCCCTTTAGTTAGTTCCTCAAAGCTGAAACTTTAAGCTCATTGAAGATACGGGGACTAGAAAAATTCTGTGGCATAGGGGGGAACATGGAGGAGGTGGAAAAGCAAACAATATGTAAATTGAAATGTGGACTGTAAAATTGATGTAGGGAACCTGTTGCTTGGTATCCAAGGTAGTGAACTCACATGATGGTGCAAGCAAGTAGTTTGGGCAGTAAAAAAACTCGTTTTTTACAAACAACTAATGCTTGACTTCTTAAATAGCTCGTAATCGATTCATCCGTTAAGTAAGCGGGCCAAACTCGAATAATATTTTTGTGCTCGATTTATAAACGAGTCGAACACAAATTAAAGTTTGTTTGATCGTGTTCGATTCATTTTGGCTGGAAATAGTTATATAATAATATTTAGTTATATTATTTTCATATTAATTCTTTATGTTGTATTTAAAAATAATGCAGATAAGAGATTTGGGTGGTAGAAACGTAAAATGTAAAATTTAGGTGTTGGATATTTTTATATATAGGAATTAGCTGGTACGCAATTACAGTTTAGTCTCTCATTGCCGGGACAAGTTTTCTTAGCGTCTTGAAGGTCCTTAAATGCATGGAGTTTCTTCTTTTGAGCACTATAGCTATGTAGCCCACTTGAAGGTTCTAATTATTGAACTTCAATACGAGCATAATTCAAACATTCGAGCTTGAATTGAACCGAAAACAAATAAACTCTTCACAAACCAAATACGAACAAATAAAATTTTAATAAGCCGAATGGTCAACACATTTGACCTCTACACATAACAATGAGGAACAATTTCATAGTGGTTGAAAATGAGTGCATGTTATAAATTTGGCAGGATGAGTGTTTTGGAAGTTCAGGATAAAGGACATAGGGTCTATTTAGGGCAATTGCAAGTATTTGAAGAAACATCTATGAAGCTGCTGTAGAAGAAACTGTTTTTTAAAATAGCTGTGTTGGCTATTACAAATTTTTTTATTAAATTTTTTTTAAAAAAAATAGATCTCAAGAAGAAACTGTTTTTTAAAATAGCTGTGTTGGCTATCACAAATTTTTTTATTAAATTTTTTTAAAAAAAGTAGATCTCAACTTTCTTGCAGCCACCACAATTTAACAGTTAATATAGAAAAAAACATCTTTTTACCACAAAATTTTTTTAAATAACACAAAAAAAAAAATTCCTCAAACAGAACTGTGACTGCAGTCTAAAAAACAAAACATGTAGAAAGCTCTCTCAAACAAACTTTTAAAATTTGATTGAGTCTAACTATTACAGTTTTTGGTGGCAAAATGGTAAATATTAAATTTTGGTATGAGAAAAATAAATAACTTATTTTTTTTTGTGTAAGAAAATTTCACTTAATATTATTTAAAATTTACAGTTTCGCGACCGCAAGCCGTTTCATATAATGCTAACCTTTATTACTGGCGAGGGACGGGGAACAGAAATAAAATATCTAAGGGCATGATAAATCGCGTAAAGGGTGGAGGGTCAAACTGCGAACAAACCTCTTCCTGCGGCCGCTCCTCTTACTCCTAGGTTTTCTTCTTCTTTCTTCTACACAAGAATCCCGGCTTCTACTGCTTTTATCGGAAGCCCAAGCCCATGGCGGCGGAGTCTTCAAGATCGAGCCCATCGGCTGACTCCTACATCGGAAGTCTCATTACCCTCACGTCTAAGAGCGAGATTAGATACGAGGGTATCCTGTACAACATCAATACCGAAGAATCCAGTATCGGATTGCGTAACGGTAAACCCTAATCACATTTACCCTTTGTTTTCTGAATAAAATTTCTATCTATTTTGTTCTTCTCTTTACCATTCGAATATCAGAAAGTCGAGATTTTCGTGGAGGTTTTGCATCTTTTCGTTAAATTTATTGGATAAGGACCTTGCAAGGTGGAGTTTTTGTTTGTAGCTGTTTTTTGAGTGGATGATAGGAGTCACACGGTGTATAACATTTCTTTTCTTTCGTTTTTATTTTTTCTTTTAATTTTATATTATCTTGGTAAATTTTCTTCTTACAATATTACTGGGAGTTCAAACATGAAAAAAATGTTTTGGAAGGAGATAAGAAATTATTGAAGTCCTTTTTCTTATGATTTTTAGAATTCATCAAATGTTTCCTCAGTTTTGAATCAGAGTTGAAAGGGAAAATAAATATATAGCTAGCGGATTGCTTTTAAAGATGTGTGGAATACTATCAATGTACGTGTTATCATTCGAATAATTTAACTCAATCCCAGAAAGTATTCGTCGATATATTGTTTGTTGACATTGTTGTTCTTTTGAAATATATGGTCCTATGTAGAAATCGGGGTAAATTATTAACTTGTTGCTTCCTAAACACAAGGCTAGTTCGGGGATTAAGAAAGGTTTACTTATCTAGTTTCCTTTTTCTTGCTCTTGTGACTTTAAATTGGAAAACATACTTGGGGCTGCAAGGAAAACATTCATTTATATTCCTTTTTTTATTGTTCATCTTATGCTCCCATTCAAGAGCAAGTGAATACTTACTCTTAAATTCCATTCCATTTTCTCTAATTTTAACTCCCGGTCAAAGTTAAGCTATTGATAGGATTTTAGGCAACACTTATATTACACTTATATATTTTCTGATTGGAGCAGTGTTTGTGGTTAGATTGCCTCCATTGTGACCTTCAAGTCTTCAAGTCATGGGTCTGAATCTTACAAAGAGCCCTCTTTATACTATACAATTATGGTTTAGTGCAATGATCATCCTCTGGATGTTGCATTGAAGTCAATCTTTTCTCTTGGACTTCTTTTTATAACTATATTGGAGAATTGTACAAAATTTTATTTGGTTCTTTTTTTTTTTAATCACAGAGCAATGCTCTTCTTTATTTCTGCTTTTTGGTCATTTACCTGTATCTTTCTAAGAATTATGCACCTTTTGTCATAAATCTAGAAACTTTTAAATGATTTTCAAGCGAAAGAAGCATTATTGAATGTAGAAATTTCATCTTTGTTTCTATTTTTTTATAAATAATTTGCTTATCTATTCTGGATATTTTGTCCATTTAGTTAGTGGTCCATGAACTTTGTTTGGCTTTCAGTTACCTTAAAGTTTTAATAAACTTTAGTTAAGCTATTATCTTCAGCTGCTAGTACATTTTTACTATATATTGCCGCTTGCTTATTTTTACATCCATCTAGAAAAAAGATGATATTATCTTTTGTTATAATTTTTATCGATGCCTGGTTGTTATTTCAAGACAAGGGTAGCATAGAGAGACTATTTTTATGATTTAGGAATCAGAATTGACTTTTCCAAGTGATATTATCTTTTTTTTTTTTGATAATTAACATATACTTGTTATTTTTAGACATCCAATAATAAGGCAGTTGAAGTGTATGCCTTTGAAGCCATCAATTGGAGGTGCTTTGATCCAGGAGGAACTTATTGAAAGATTAAATTTCAGATTAGTGTAGGATAGAAAGTTGTAATCATTCAATGTTAGTAGTAAAAGATAGTTCATCAGTCAAACATTTGATGGTCAAGATTGGGAGGAAGGAAATCTGGATTGTTGGACGGCGATAAGGGTTATATCTTTTTTTTAATTGAGTTATCTTCTTTTGCGGAGCTAGGATAAGATTTTTGCTTATTTGATGAGTTAATTTAGGAAAAGATAATGCCACATTTAATTTAATTTTTGTTATTCTTACTTATAAATAGGCTATTTATTATAGAAAAAAGTAATTTTGACTCTCAAATGATTTTCTCATTTTTTGCTCGACTACTAAAGCAATTGTGTGGGTGCTAAGTGATGCGGATGTTGAAACAAACTGCGATAACTATAGCAGTCATGAGTACTATAACAAATGTGTATTCTGTAGTAAATTATAGTTACTCTATCAAACAAATAGCATACAACAAAAATTATATAGGAGTTTCTCACAACAAGAAAACTTCTTCAATTTTCTGATTGTGTGCTCTTTTCATCACGTTAAAAGGATTGCATTGAATCAACCTTTGTCATAGAAGTTTTTATATTAACTTCAGAAAATCCCATACAAATTTTTTTTTTTGCTCATAATTTGGTATAGGAGATTTAGTACCAACTTGTAAGAAAAATTATTTCTATGGTTAAATTAAGAACCTAGGGCCATGACCATGAGGAAAGATTGCTAACAATTGAAATTCTATTCAACATGAAAAAGAAAAAATGGCCAAGCAATGGATGATTAGAAGGCCACAATGAAGGAGCAAATGACCATAATAATGAATGCTGAAGAAATCTCATCTTTAGAATTAATAGGATTCTTTGTGTTCCTAAGGAAAATTTATCTTTAGACTCCAATTAGTAAACATATCGTTCATGCTGCAATTTTTATATATTTTTTTTGTCTTGGAACAATCCGACCTTTCCTAGCTTTATAGACCACAGATTCTTCGTAAGCTCAGTGGAAATTATATTAAACTCTATATTTGAGGTTTGCGTATTGAAACTTTGGTTGTTTTCTTCTTGGGCCCTGCTGAAGCCCAATTAAGTTAATCAAATGCTGCAATTTTTCTAAAAATTAGAGCTTATAATAATATCAATGATTTACTTCATTAGTTTATCATTCTGAACTCAATTTCAAATAGCCATTCTCAACTAGTATTATATATTTCATTATAACTAGTGCGACTGACAACCTCTTTGATATCTTGGCATTCCTCACTGAAGAATTTGATATTTCCTTATTTTGTAATGGTTATGCTGATTTCTTTTATATATTGAAGATACTACCATATTTGGCTAATATTTTTTTAATGTCCAAGTTCTTTTTTAAGCTTGTTGACGTCTGTTTTTCCACCCACTGAGGTCCTTGAAATTTAAGTGCTTTTAAGCCAATAATGTGATGCCAATCCCCTCTTTTAGAAAACTAATGATCAGGCTCTAAAACATTAACGTAGGACTCTTGCTTCAACATTAATTTTAATAACGCTTAGTGGATCTAACCATGACAAGCTATATTTGTGTGAAAGTATATGCCGGTCAAAATTTACTATACACATATCATTAGCTATATTGTATTGAAAAGGTGGAAGTTAATATGAACAGTTATTACTTCAATCAAGTAATATTATAATTTGATTATGAATTGTACAACTAAGATGTAGAACTTGTGAATTTTGAATGCAAGTCATTTGGATAGTGTGTTGGCCTGAATAATGGTTATTATTAATAACTTTTATAATATATATTTGCATAGCTTATCTTGCTTTCATGGTCATGTAATAAAAAGGAGAATTAAAATATGTTGTTTTATTGAGTTTTTCTACCGTGATCTTAAAAAACCCATTCTTAAACTCTGTGCTTTTCTTGGACTTAGGCTCATGTTGTGCATCATAATCAGATGATGAGTTGGTTGAATGACCGGCTTGCAAATATGGCACTTTACTTTTGGGGCTGGATGATGAACCTATTGGAAGTTTAATATTTGTGTTTTTTTTATTAGATGAACCATACACACATCGCATGCATGCAGACCTCTTCCTTCCATTAAGAAACATTCATATTAGTAACATTACAATTTCATGGAATTTAATGATCATTTTTTTTTGTTCTTTGCATCTATTAAAGTTTTTCTATTTATTGTTTTGATTGAATGAGAGGAGATTTGTGATTGCTACAGTATAGTTTTTCACGTGACTTGTAATTTTTATGTATCAAATTTTCCTGGTGTTTTGTGTAAATTTAGTGGTTTTGATCGGTGAAATATGAAGGTCATTGTGAATTTATTTTTATGGCCCCATATGTATCCGTCATCCCATCTTCTCAATGAGATAGTAATGATATATGTGGAAAAACAAAGATAATTAATTTATCAATTATAGGACATACACATTTACTATTTTATGCGATTTTTAAGTTCAAACAACTTTTCTATTTAAGATACTAAATTTTTATGCTATCAAAGTTGAATGGAAGGGCGAATGGCGAACCGATGAATGCAAGAAAAATTGGGAATTTATGGGGCTAGGATTTCTAAAATATTTTATATAAATTTATTTTTTTGATTTGTTCCTATTAAGATTATTTTGTTGAGATAAAAAAATAAAGTTTGATAATTTCAGGGGCGGGTAAACCTAAATCCGAATCGGCTCACACATTTGGCAGTTTTGATCATTAGTTTTTCTTGGTTCTTGCCAGTTGTTGGCATAATGATTTTAGCTGTTAACTGAACTGGTTTGGGGATCTATGCATGGTTGAAATGATTTGATTAGCCAGTTCGTTTGATTTTATTTCCCTTGATTTTTATAATTGTGATATTCTTACTGATGGTGGGCAGATTTGTTATTCTAAATTACGCTTCTTCTAAATCTTCTCGAAACAACCACCTCACCACCATTCCCCATCTTAATAAACCCTTGACCATTTTTGGTCAGATTTCAAGATTTTACTTTCTATTCGTTAGCGAATTTGATTCATCTCATTGTTTTGGCAAACGTTTCTACTTAGCATAAAAATCTGCCTTTTTCATGACTCCATACACAGTTGCTAGTGGTTCACATTCCTAGTTCTAAATGAATGACATTTAAAGTAATTGTGTGGTTCGGTCTGTTAATCCTGTTGATGGTCCTCTATTAACACGCCATGTTATTTAAATTTTGTGTGAATTATCCAAATTTTACTTGGTTGTCAATCTTGAGTACATTAATTCTGAAGATCTCATGTTATTATTATTTTTTTGTTTTTATGTCTTGTGTTTTTAATTGTGGAAGCTCCCATAAAGCTCTGTAGCTACTGAATATACTTTCTTATACTTAAACACGTCTTTTAGATTCTGTTTTGTTGCGTGGTTTTATTTTTCAAGTTAGATTTTCATGCAATTTGTTGAAAGTGTACCGGAAGAACTTTTCTTAATGTAGACCTTTTTTTTTTTAAATTTTTTCAAAAGTGAGCACTATTAAATCCTTCATTTTCTATCTGCAGGTCTTTTATAGGTTATTAGGAATAATTTCAGCTAATTTTTTTGTCTGATTTGTTTACTTTGTTTTAGTTCGATCATTTGGAACTGAAGGAAGAAAGAAGGATGGTTCACAAGTTCCTGCTAGTGATAAAATATATGAATACATACTTTTCCGTGGAAGTGACATTAAGGTACATAGAGCAATGATAATACACATCTTTGGGGAACAAAATTGTTTGACGTAGTTAAATGTATTGCAGCTTATTAACAGAATAAATTTGGTATGGTTGAAAATGTTGTTTTTGAAATATTTGCTGCTTCCATTTATATTCCTTGTTTATTGACTCGGAAACATCATTAAGACATTTAATTTTTATGAGAGGGTTGACATCCTTCAATTTTTTTATATCATTTCTTTTTTTTATCATCTTTTAACTTTATTATGTTCTAATCACAGTCAAATTGATCGCCGGAATTTTCTTGAAATGAAATGAACTGATCATCCATAAAATGCCGTGATGGTTTTAGAGATTTTTTATGGAAGCTTTTCTTTTTTGGAAGATATTTCAACCAGATTAAATTTTTTGAACCTTCATAGGCACCTCAATTTTAACAACGCTGTTTAGTTTTTTTTTTGTTAAATAAAGAAAAACTAATTTCCTATGTTGCAGATTTAAATGATCAAAATGCCTTTTATTTAGGTGTCTTGGCTCCCATCTTGCTAGGATTTCAGTGTTTGGCATTGGTAGGAGTTTGATGGTGATGGTGACCTCGGGTTGTGGCATCTTGGATAGTGGTGTCGGCGGTTTATAAGTTGTAGGAAAGATCAATTTCGTCTAGATATAACGGAAAAATTAAAGAAAAATGGTAATAGGTTTTAATTTCTGTCCTTGTAGATAAAATGTGAGAATCGTCGAAAGCAATGGGACCACCTTGTTGCTAGTCTTGTTACAAATTGTGACATCATAATTTTCTTTTGATCTCTGTCCTCACTCGTCCTCCTCGTGGAAGTATGTTATTTATCTCTCTTCTTGTCTTCGAGTAATGGCACTTTTTTATCTAGTGATGGGGAGCCTAAACTGGCACTAAAGAAGTTTGTGCTTTTCTGCATTTAGGTGCATTTTTATAGCAGGGGAAGAGAGCTATACATGAAATCACTGAAGATGGATGCTTGTGATCCTAATCTCCATTTGTGAACTATAGTCATACTCATTGTACCTTTATTTGGTAGTTTTTTTCAAATTTGTGCAAATGCCCTGAATCTCATGCATGCTAAAACTATGATTGAAGTTTGAAAATGTTAGCTGAGATTAAGTTTTAAATATTTTGATGATTTGATTGCAGCTTTTTGATTTATGCTTTTGCTATGTGGTGGGTGATAAGAAGAAATTTAGGCTTGTTTGGGGTAAAGTATTGAAATGTAAGGGTTTTGAAAATATTGGTGCTTGGTTTGAAGTAAAATGAATGATAGTAAAATTTTAGGGAATTCTAAACTCTATTGTTCACTAGTGGTATATTCCAAACCTAATTACTTTGATAAAAGTTTGAATATTTTGCAAGCCGCGATCATTGCCTTCATACTTAGTCACATACTGCCACCACACCACTGTTAGCAATCACTACTATCGGGCTTTGCCTCCAAAAGTCATCGATCGATGCCATTTGTCCAGTGTTTGCTGTTTTCATCGCTGGTCGTAGGCCGCTGTCATCACTAGCTGTTGCATTTAGCCATCACCAATTGCTTTCGCTTTTTTTGCCATATTTCACATTGAATTCATTTAACTTCAAACCAAATATAAAAGTTATCTTTTATATTTGTTTTATACTTAACCAAATAAACATTTCAAATACGCTGTATTTTTTTACTTTCAATTTCTTTTTTAGCAAAACAAATGCACTTGAGTAAAAGCATGACCCACAGAGTCAATTTCATATGTGATTTGGGCAATGCCTATGCTAAGCACCCTTATGCCTGGGATGCCACAATACTAAGCACTCTTTCACCCACACACCGTTGGAGAATTTGTTTGACTACTTTATGGTAGAAGAGCACATTCACTTTGATTATGAACTAGGGCACCTCTATATTATTTTTAAAGGACTTAAAAATATATATAAAAGTTAAACGATTGAAAATATTTTTCATACTTTTGTATCTCAATGTGGAAATCAAAGGACATTGATTTGCGTTTAGACCTTGAAAAATTTGAATGCAATCTCTTTATTTGTGGAGAGAAGTTGATGTGCAAATTTTGTGATTTTTAAATTTATTTAGGTTTACAATCATGTGGTCTATGCAAGGAAGCACTTAGGTTAGTGGACAATATGGAGCGACTTAAGTTGTATCTCCAACTGTGAATAAAGTCCAAAGAGCAACAGTGTAAAAATAGAGTCGTGACAGTTTTATAACAAATCGGCAGTCAAGTTCATATGTTAACGGCATGTAATCCAATTAGTGGTTTATTTAAACTTACTAAAAAATACCTTGTCTTTGGCCACTTTGCGCACCTGCACAAAAACTGAATGGAGACCTGCTAAGTTGGCAATGTTTCACGAAAGAATTAGTGGCACCCTACAAAGCCCAAATTTTATTTTTATTGATTCTAAAAGTATATGAGGTATACTATTTTGTAAATAAGTATTATATACAGTCTTAGACATGTATATTGCTTGCATACGTGTGTGTGCATGATTATGTGGATTGGATTTAAAATTTAATAGCATGAACTTGAGTGGTTGTTAGCAATATCATAGTTTTTGTACATATGAAGGTAAAAATGAAGTTTTTTATGTTTAAATCTCGCTTCACATTGAGTCATGGCTTTATTATTTTATCCATAAATAGGTACTTCATTGTCTACAGTAAGTTTCAATAAACAAACGTTTTCAAATCTGTGTTTTTGATCTACCAAACAGAGTTCCTAAAAAATGTTTGTTCTTATTGTTCATTTCATAACTTTTTTTTTCTAGATATTTCCTATATTTTACTTGGCCTCTAATTCATCGCTTGGATCATGTGGTTTCATTAGTGACTCCTATATTTTATTTGCTCATTTCAATTACTCTATCTGCCACATTAGGAGAGAAACAGTTATTACTTTTTCATCATGGGGGAATATGGCCCTCACCTTGATTATGGAGAGGCACAACCCATGCTTCATGGAAAAAAGAAGAAAATCAACCAAAAGCTACATAATTTAAAATGCCATGCACACATTTATATGCAGATGTATAAAACAATAGATGCCGAAGCGCATTTAGACCTAGAAAAGTCTGCACTCAAACTTTATTTTGTGGACTGAAGGTGATTTTCCTTGTGATTTCTATACGTAGGCTTACATTTATGGGATATATCTACTACATTTATGGGATATATATATATATATATATATAGATATAAACACGAGTTAATGGACATTATGGAACAAATTAAATCAATATTTGGACATGAAAAATGATCACAGAACAACCATTAGAAAATATAGCTGTTATAGTACCATAACATATTAGCAGGCATTAATATGCTAAAGATGAGCAGTTAAGTTAACAAATGTCCTCTAAACCTCTGTTTAGAAAATACCTTATTTTTGGCAACTTTGTGGACTTGCACAAATGATAACTATCGGCTTACTAAGTTAGTAGTGGTTTGTTAAAAAACTATTGGTGCCCGGAAGTCCGCTCTATCGGTGCCCGGGTTTCGTGCTAAAAACACAAGGGTTCTGATATTATGGACTGTTGTAGGCAAAAAAGTCTGTCCATGAAACTAATGTTAAGATATGATATTGCAATGTAGGTACTCTCACAGATAAATTACTAGAATTAGTATATCTTATGGTTCATAGGATGATTAAATATCTTATGCATTCCAAAAACTAAATGGGTTGGAGAGAAAGACTAAGGAGATAGATAATTTTTGTTTTATACTTTGGTATTTTGGTATGGGTCGTATTAGAAATATTGTATGTGTAATTACAAATGATAATTTGAACGATAATGTTGTAAAATTAATAGAATTAGAGATAGAATTATAGCTTTAAAAATTATTGGTGATACTAAAATTCTTAATGTTATAAGTAGTTATGTTCCTTAAGTAGGCTTAGATAAATGTTTAAACGAAAAATTTTGGAATGACCTAGAAAAAGTAATACAATGAATACTTCTTGAAAAAAGAATTGTTATTGGAGGAGATTTAAATGGACATGTTGGTAGAACGATGGAACATTTTTGAAATATACATGGTATCTACAGTTTTTGAGTGATTAATGAAGTAAGTAAAGCCATATTGGATTTTGCTTTAGCTTATAATTTTATTTTCGCTAATATTTATTTAAGAAAAAAGATAAACATATAATTACTTATAAGAATGGATGTAATAAAACACAAGTTGATTATTTTCTTATGAGAAAAAAATATTCATCAAAATTATGAAGATTTTAAAATCATTTCAAGTGAAAATTGAAGTACTCAACATCGATTGTTGATTTCAGATTTTAAAATGAAGGGCTGGAAGATAAAAAATATAATAAAATATTATCATAGATTTAGATGATGCCACTTAAAAGATATAAATAAATTTTTTTTATGAGTAAACTTTAAGATCTTAAGATTTGGGATGTTCATGAAGAAGCTAATGCAATGTGGGATAGAGTAACATGCACTATTAAGCAAGTTGCAAAACATATACTCGGAGAATGAAAATGAAAAGTTTTTATAAATAAAAATAATAATGTACAAGAAAATATAAAATATAAGAAGTTTTGTTATAAAAGTTGGTTTAAATGTAAAAACTTAGAGAATTGTGAAAAATATAAATGGACACGTAGGGAGTCTAAGATAACAATTTGTGATAGTAAAAATTCTATTTTTAGTGATATTTATACAAAGTTAGATCTTAAGCATGGTGAAAGATATATATATAAACTAGCTCAAGGATGAAAATAAGCATGGTGAAAGATATATATATAAACTAGCTCAAGTAAAGGATGAAAATAAAAAAGTGCTTTTTCTAGATGACGATATTCAACATAGGTGAGTGAGATATTTTGATAAATTTTTTATCGAAGATTTTAAAAATATAATCAATTTTAGTGATGTTAATATAGTCAATAATGACAGAACTTTTTATTTTTAGTTGCATTAGTAAAATAGAAGTTAGTGAAAACTTTAAAGGAAATGAAGCGTGGAGAATCAATATGATAGTGTCCCAATAGAAGTGGGGAAATGCTTAGGGGATTTAGGAATTTCGTGGCTTATTAAACTTTTTAATATTATTTTAAAACTAAAAGGATGCTTGAGAAGTGGAGGAAAAGTGAGTATTTGGTCCATATTTTTTAGAATGAATGGGATGTAGAGTGTGCAAATTATAAAGGAATTAGGTTAATGTGCCATACATTAAATTATGGAAGAGTGTTATTGAATTGAGGTTAAGATGTGATACAAATGTTTCTCAAATCAGTTTGGATTTATGCTTGAGAAGTCTATTATGGAAGGTAATCATTTTTTGAGAGATTTGATTGAGAAGTACAAAGAGTGTAAGGAGAATCTACATATAATTTTTGTTGATTTAAAAAAGCTTTTGATAAGGTACCAAAAGTGATACTTTGGAGAGTACTTGAAAGAAGGATTCTGATATGACCTATATTCAAGTAATTAAAGATATGTATACTAGTGTTGTTACTTGTTTTTAAACAGTTGGAGGATTGACCAAGTATTTTCCTATTTCAGTTGGATTACACAAGGGATCAACTTTATGCCCTTTTCTTTCTGCTTAGGGATGTTTTTACCATACAGTTACAGGAGAATGTACATTGGTGTATGCTTTTGGCTGATGATATCTTTCTTGTGGAGAAGACTAAAAAGAGAGTTCAAGAAAAAACTTGAATTCTGGGGGTCAATTTTAGAGTCTAAAGACTTTCATTTGAGTAGATCTAAAACTGAGCACATGGAATATAATTTTAGTAGTATTAGATCGAGTGATGCTGTTGTGACAACAGGTGATCATAAAAATATTGAACGGTTTAGATATCCCGGGTTTATTGTTCAAAGTGATGTTGATATTGATGGGGATGTTATTAGTAGAATTTAAGTTGGATGGTTGAAATGGAGGAATGCATCGGGCCTATTGTGTGATATAAAATTACTGTTGAGACTTAAACGAAAATTTTATAAGATGGCAGTGAGACCTGCAATGCTTTATGATGCAGAATGTTGGCCTATTAAAGAGAAGCATAAAACTAAGTACTGCCGAGGTGAGAATGCTTAGGTGGATGAGTGGCTTCACAGCTAGAGACAGAATGCGAAACAAAAATATTAGTGAAAGGGTTGGGTGTTGCTCCAGTGGTAGACAAGATTAAAAAGAGTCGTTTTAAATGGTTTGGTCGCATTAATTGTTGACCATCTGATGATCTTGTTTGGAGATTAAATGTTTTAGATTTGAATTTTGGTAAGAAAGATAGAGGTTGATCTCAAAAGTCTTGGGCATGTTGTATAAAAATGATCTTAATCTATTAGAATGTCCTTACTCTAAGCTCAAATAAAGAAATTGTTTCTAATGCATGCTTATTATCATAAAAAATATGTTCACTAGAAGTACTTGTTCATGAGGTTAACAACTTTCTATTTGTTCCATATATATATATATATATATATATATATTAAAAAAAGGTGAAATCGATATTTGGTCCAGTGGGCACTAAATATCGATTCCCCCATATGGGTTGAAAACTCGATGTGTTTGATTCTGATTCGAACAGCCCGCGTCACGGGATTTGAACCCCCCGACCCGAGGGACATGCTTTTCTTTCATTAAAGAGTTAGAGCTTGGCTCCTTACTCAAATATATATATATATATGATATATATATATATATGATATTTACTATACTTTATTTGACCTCTAGTTCTCCATGACTTCACTAACGTGGTTTCATATTTATACCTATATTTTAGATGGGAGAAAAACAAAAAACAACACAATCATATGTTGTGTATAACAAGTAATGTTGAAGCATATTTATACCCTAAAATATCTGAATGCAAGCTCCTATTTTGTGTAGAGAAAAATGTTTTGCAATGTGGGTTGTTTTCTTGTGATTTATAAACTTAGGTTTACATTATTGGGTAGATATTATGAAAACACTATGGTTAATGGACGAAATGGAACAACTCAATTTAGATCTCCAGGCATGAAAAATTATCACAAAACAACATTTAAGAAATAATTAATGGACGACATGGAACAACTCAAATTATATCTCCAGGCATGAAAAATTAGCACAAAACAACATTTAAGAAATAATTATTAAAATGAATTGATGGAAATCCATTAGTTAGCGGTTAGTCTTAAGTGAGCAGCGGCTTGTTAAAGAAATAATAGAGCATGACTTAAAAGGGTAAATATAAAGCTCACCTCATGTTGATGCCATGATCAGATGGTTCTTTATCCTTTGATAAATACCTGTGTATTCCCTCTCATGGATAAGACGAGAGAGCAAGCTCAGGAAAACTTGAATTATGGAGGTCTACATTGGAGTAGTCTAAAGGATGGAGTCTAAAGGACTTCATTTGAGTAGAACTAAAATTGAATACATGGAATGTAATTTTAGGAGTATTAGCTTTAGTGGCAGAAATGTAACTATGGGTGATCAAACTATTAAAAGGTGTGAATGCTTTAGATATGTTGGGTTTATTGTTCAAAGTGATGATGATGTAGATGGGGATGTTATTAGTAGAATTCAAGTTGGTTTGTTGAAGTGGAGGAATGCTTTGGGCCTATTGTGTGATAGAAAAGTACCTTAAGCACTGCTTAGACTGAAATAAAAATTTTATAAGATTGTGGTGAGAACTTCAATGCTCTATGGTGCTGAATGTTGGCTTTTAAAAGAGAAGCATAAAACTAAGTTTAGTGTTGATTAGATGAGAATGATTAGGTGGATGAGTGGCTTTACACTTAGAGACAAAATGCGAGATGAATATATCCGTGATAGGGTTTGTGTATCTTTAGTGACGGAAAAAAATAGAGGCATCTTAGATGGTTTGATCACATTAAACGTC